TTTAATTTTAATTAAAGAAAATTTTAATAATAATAATAATAATCATAAAAAAAGTATTAATAATTGTTTAAAGATTTATTTAGTTATAAATAGTCTTATTGTATACTATAATAACAATATGTAACCTTATTTTATTATATACAGTCAGACTTTTATATAGTCACCTTCTTTATAGTCACATTTGCTTATAATCATATAAATTTTTAAAACTAACTTATATAATACTTATAAAATTTAACCTTTATATAAGTATAAACTTTTTATAAGTACTAAATTTTTTAAACCAAGAATGTGATTATAAAAAAGTTTAACTGTATAATAAATTAGAAAAAACTTATTTACACTTATGCAATATAAAAATTTGCAATATAATAAATTATATAGTTAATTAACATAAGTTTGATTAAATAGTTGATATGATATCCTAATGCCAAATAGTAAGCAAAACTATAATTCTAAAAATTTTAGTAAATTTTAAATATTTTTTAAAAAAAATCATAAATTAATATAATGTTAAGAATATTGTAATATATTATTATAATAATGTTTTGCTAGTTTTATGAATTATATAATAAAATCCTAACATCTAAAATCTTAAAAACTATAATTCTAATATTATGTAAAGTAATAATTAATATTTAAAGATTAGTAATTACATTAACATTTTAAATATCAGAATTATGAATTTTGAGATTTTGAATATTAAAAATTTTAATAAAACTATTAGTAATACAAGTTTTAAAAAATAAATAGCTAATCAAATAGTTTACACAATGTTTATATACAATAAAAACAAATACATATTTAAATTATTCTTGGTATATTAATTAAAAACAACAAAAAATAGAAGTGTAGTGACCTAGTAAAGTGGACAGAATGTTAACCCTCAAGTAGCAGGTCTAGAGTTCAAATCCTATAAATGCTGAATTTTGGAATTTATATTTGTGTTATAGTAACTGACTTTGTTAATTAGTTGAATTGACATATCTGTAACCTTCAGTTGTACTATTTCGAATAGGAGCTTAGGGCATCTATGCAAAGTGTAATATTACACCTACATAGAGGAATATTAATAACCAATATTGTATAAAACTTTAGTGCAAATTTACAATAAGACCATCAGATATGAAAAGCAAAAAAACTAAAGAGTTGAAAACCTATTTGGAAATTCTAAGTAAAGAGATAACACAAAACTTTTAATAGTGCTATTGGACTGATGGAAGCTCATAAAACATCCTTAAAGAAATAGGTAAATAAACTGAATAACAAGATATGTAGAGGAGCATATAACTAACCAGGTTGCCAGAATCACTAAAAAAAAAAAATACTAAGATATATTACACTAGGTTATCTGAATTAGAAGTTTGAAAAGTTTTGTTAGTTCTAAGTAACAGTTAGTAAAGGATGATAAAGAAGACATTAAAAAAATAGATATTGGAGTTTTGGATAAACTTTACAAAGGTATAGCAGTTTAATAGTTAATTCTAACTGCAAGTAATAATCTAGACCAAAGTGATATCAGGTCAGCTGTAAATATAAAATACAAAAGGCTCTGGTAGATTTTAGTACAAAGTTAAATATGACTTAGTGGCTATGGCAATCTTCATCAGTTTACTGAAGTTATTAGTAAAATATGATAAATACAGAATCAGAGTATTTAAATAGAGGATCTACAGAGAGGTCTTAGACAATATTGTCATAGTACACAGATGCAGACACAGACTGGATACTAACCAGATATCTGTGTCTGTATTTGAAATTAAGATAGATATTCAAATAGTATGTTTTAATAAATATTACCTGATTGGTCTATCTAATAACAAATCAATTAATCATATGATTATAAAAATATGTCTTATATAATAAATTTAAATTTTATTATTGATTTCTAAAAAATCCAATTAATTATTTATATAAGCAACTGTATATACTATGTAATACAATTTTTTTTAATATAAATTATTAAATATTATATTCAATATATAACATGTTTGTATACAATAAGCATTCAAAAAGATCTATACTATCTAACACAAAGAGTACTTTATTTGCAAAATACAATAAAAAATTAGTACTTTCAAAACTTTAAACTTTCAAATATATATTTTATATTACTTCAAAGTGAATAATAAATAAGTGTTACAAAATGAAAACCTGAAAGTGAATATTTAAATTTTTATAATAGCAGACTTAGCCTCTGAGGAATTATATTGGTTATAAAAAAATTGTGTCATAAGTATTATGCTATCAAAGCAACCAGAACACTGATTATTCATATAACAAATTACATAATAATACAACTCTTCATGGTCTAAGTCTGCTACAATAAAAACTTAAATATTTATTTTCAAGTCTTCAAAAAGGCCTAGGATTTGTTTGCATATGGATTAGTCTGTAAATTATTTATTGTTTATTAAATTTAAGATAAAACTAAAATTATTATAAAAGAAATAACATTATATAATAAAGTTTCACAAGAAAAAAATTCTAATTAAAGCACAAAAGTTAATTTGCTATGCAAATTTGTTATTTCTAATTATGTTCTTTATACTTAAGCATAATTGAATGATTGGTCACTTATCACATGTACAGACAAATTTTTCTATATTCTAATGCTGTTAGGTTTTCATTCTGCAGTACTTAATATTGATATAATCTGTTTCAGATTTTTTATATACTTTGTAATTAGTTTATTATCATATATATTATAAATTACAAGAGGAATAATTTATCTTAATTCTTTTCTAATAGTAATTTTAGCTATAAAATAAAATAGTTATATTGTAGAAAAATATTATTTGATCAAACTATACTAAAAATTTCATATTTTTCACATGCTATTTCAAAAAATAGTTTTTTAAAAACCTTTATTTAAGAATATATAGATTTATAATCTAATTAATTATCTAATATAACTCATGTAAGTCTAAAAATAAAAATGATATTAATATAAATTAATATAAGCTGATTGAGTAAACACCTTATCAAGAAATAAAAATCCATATACTATTTATTAATTAACTTGAATTAATATTTATGTATTAAAGTTAAAATAAAAATCTACTTATAGATTTAAAACATTAACAAATTTTAATACAAATGAATAATCAAAGTTGTGCAAAAAAAACTTATCAAATATAGTTAGTATTGAACAGCTGCTCAAAGACTTAAACAAAAAATTATTCTAAAATAGATAATAAAACTTTTGTAGTATTCTGAACTATGCACCAACACTTCATGATATAAAGTCACATACAAATATAGTAGTACTATGTAAAAATCTTAAATTTTTACAATAGTATTTAAATAGTATAAATTATTAATAATATAAGTCAAGAGAAAATTTTTGTAGTAAATAGCAAATTAGTTTTTTACTAGTTTCTTACTAGAGCTAATAAATGATTTTGTTATATTAATATTAGTTTTTCATATTTTGTCAAAAAATCTTGTCTAATTATTTGCTAGTTCTAGTAAAAAACTAAATTTCCTCTTAGTAACCTATATTTTAATAATTTATACTAAGTATAATATTTTGAAATTATTGAGGACTTACTAAATAAAAGTTGACAAGTAATATAGCACATTTTAAGAAATTTAATTACAATATTAAACCAAAAAGAATAAATAATTTTATTTCTAGTTTATTAGAATAAATAGAATATTAATTTTGTAAATATTGCACTGAATGATTTAAATAAATAGTAGTATAATATTTTTGACAACTTATCCAATTCAATATTTTTGATTTGTTGGTAAAGTTTTAATTCAGTTAAAGTTATTGGATAAAATTAGTACTTTAATATTTATCTTTAATATAAACAAAAAATTAATTGTACTTATTAAACTCATATTGATTTTACATATAAATCTATATCAGCTAACTATATATGAAGTATTATAGAAATAAAGTGTTACAAAACTGAATTAGAATTCCTATTATTAATATACAACTTTTATACTTACTGAATATAATATTAATGCAAACAAATGTACTAAAAGATCAAAGTCTAATTAAATTCTCTGTATATAGAATTCCTATTATATAAATAATATATTTTTTTTATAGTTGAAGTTTTTATCTTGTGGATGCAATGTTTTTATTCAAGTATATTAAAACATGGTATGCCACCAGGGGCTTACCTTACATTAAAGATTACAACTAGCTACATGTGCACTTTTGGTGCCTAATTTAAGTAGTCTACTTACATATTGCTATATAAGTTCTATACTAGTTGTCATATTTGCAAGCCAACTAGAGATTTTGCCTATTTAAACCTTCTGCATATGCAATTTTTCTTGTATCACAAGAACATCTCAAGGCTACACCTATTCAAGTTTTTAATGCTTGTTGTTACCTTTAAAACTAGTTTATTCTTAACAGAAAACTTACTAGAGCCTTTATGTCTCACATATATAAACCTAGTTTTATACAACATGTTATAGTTATCTAACACTTGCAATTATAAATGTTATCTGTTTAACCACTACATTATAATATTTCTATTCTTGTAAAGTTTACTAAAACCCCAGTATCTATCTTCTTGGCATCTTCTCTATCATCCTCTACTAGCCACAACTCAGAACTGTCAGTCTTATTTCAGACTACCAATTCAGATGGCTCAGTATACTCTGTATTCTTTTCTTCTGGCAAATCTGGCAGTCTGGTTGGTTATGTGCTCCTTTATACATATTTGATGTTTGGTTTTAACCTTCAGTTTCTATGATAAATAATATTAATATATTTCTGTTTAAAGTATATTATATAAAATAAATAAAAGCTTTATTTTTATTTATAATAAAAAAATAAAAATAAAAGAATTACAATTTCAAATTAAAAATACAATTATGATAATTGTAACTTATTAAAAAGAGAATCAAATATCATTTTGAATCTGGGTCTACTGCAAGATAAATAATATTCTCAACTACTAAATATAATATCTTATTTTTTTATTATATACGTTCACAAACATTTCAGTCTCTCTTGTTAAAATCTTTACTCACATATTTAAAAATTGTTCAAACTCTTTTAAAGAATTTATAGAATCATCATTACTGTTATTAACTGCATCATTATTTATAAATTTTTCAGCTTCCAGATTAATTTTAAATAGTTTTTCAGATTTTAAATCTATTTCTTTACCAGATTCTTTATTTTTATTTTGTTGATATTTAGCATTTTCTTCTAGAACATTGGGTAAAAACAATTTAACTAAATCAGATTGGCATGCATGTTCTTATGTGATAGATGCTCACAACTTGCTTATATTAAGAGCCTTTTCAGACTAAATAAAAAATTATATAACTTATAGTCTTATTAAAAAAAAATCTTATAATCTGTTGATGATATTAAAAACTGCCAAAAAAGAAAAATAGATAAATAAAAAATAATAATTACAACTAATCAATTTCTTCTATTAGTTTGTAAAAAGTTTATAAAACTCCAAAAATGTTCTACTATAGTCATATTAACACATATTCTATACAATCAGCAAGCTATGAATTCTAATTCTTTTATTAAAGTATTAGCATAATTTCAATATATTAAAATATTAGTAAATTAACTGTAAGTACCATTATTAAATAGATAAATTTCTAAGAAAATTCATTAAATTTACTTAAAATGCAAATAGGTTCTTTTTCTGATTAGGTTCTATAATAATAAATTAGATGTTTGCCTAATTTTGAATAATTAATAATTAATTTATCTTTAAAATATATTAATTGATACTCAAAATGTAGTAAGCAAGCCAAAATTAAAAGAAGTTGCTCCAAATTATTTTATCTTTTTTTTTAATCTAGTCAAAATCTTTTTGGCAAGTTAAGAGTTAGTATAATTATTTTAAAACTAAACTAAATATGTAAGACTATGTATAACCTGTATTAATTTTGCATTATTATATTGTAAAAGATTTAGCATTTTATAATAAGGATATAATATTTCAGAAATTATTTTTAAATTTGACCAAAATAAATGCTAGTTAATGATTTCAAAAATGGCTAATAAATCATATAAGTTTTACTAGCTTTTTATTAAGATTAAACAGATAGCAATTAAAAATTAATTGCAAGAATCTAAATAATAAATTTAAATTTAAATTATAAATAATATAAATTAAATAAATAATTAATTGGTTTTCTTGCTAAATGAAATTTAAAAAACAAAAATTTTAAAAGAATTTTTAAAGAATTTTATAAAATTTTATGTATAAAATTTTTTTTTTAAAAAAACTGGCTGGCTTAGTTTTAAAATTTTTATATTATTAAAAACCAAGAAATTAATTTATATAGCCTAATCTAAACTTATATATCTATAGTGCCTGTTGGGTTCATAAAAGACTAGATACTACAAAATAATAATTATTTCAACAGGTTTTTTCAAGAACTGCCATGTTATAATACTTCTTATAAATTATTTGTTGCTGAACATATAGTTTCATAATAAATTATTTATTATTATATTTTTAATATATACAGCTAACTGAATTGCTTTATCTATAGTAGTTTTAGATTAGTAGATTCTTTAAATATTTCTCTAATGCATAAGTTTAATTAATAGACAAAGCAAGGCAGGAATACAATATTTCTGTAAATAATTCTTAACCTTCATTTAATATAGTTTAATATAGAAATTAATAAAAAATAAAATTAATGTTTATAAAAAATAAAAATACCTAGTTGCAGTATATAGACTAGCACTGTCTGTAATAATTGCCAAAACTTTTACATTTATGTTTTATAGTTTATCTATTATTTTATTTGTTTTTTCTATAACTTGAATGTGAGATTCATTTTCTAAGCTAATATCTGTTGATCTTTATATATATGGCTTTTCATCCAAAATAAGTACCATCATCTCTAACAATTGTTCATTTCTTATATTTATTTCTTATATTCATTCAACCATTGAATGTAAAAGTTACTTTAATTAAATTATTATACAAACTTTATATATTGCCATATTTTGCTTAGAAATAGCTATTTCTAAAACTTTTCACTAAGAGTTCTAGCTTAAGTTAAAGATTAAGAAATTTAAATAATTCTTATGCTTCTGGCTTGCTTAACTAATTAAAGGCCCATATACAAGAACAGTTAGTCTTAACAAAAGAATTTTGAATTTTTTATAATCTTGATATAACAATAGTTTAATAGAATAATTATTGAGTAGACCAAATAATTCAAATTATGCTAAAGCTTTTGATTTAATGATTTATAAGAGGAACAGAGAAAAAATAAAATAAATAATAATTATATTTCATATAATAAAATAAAATTTCAAAATTATTATTTGATCTTTCAGTTTGATCATCTTTAAGTAAATTGAATACTTTTCTTTTTGTTCTAACATGATCTTATTATTAAAATGTTTACACTTTTTAAGATGCAAAATTACTTTATTCATTTTGTTAGAAAAACAATTTTGCTTCTCTTTATCTTTACCAAATGCTTCAATATATAGCTTGCAAAAAATTTTGTAATTACTTTTATTTAATTTTTCTTTGCTTTTAATAATATATTGGTTTAAGAATTTAGATATTGATACTATACTTTTGTAATAAGAGTATTTAGTAACTAATTATTCTGTTTCTTTTTTTAAAAAAGAAAAAAAAATGATGTTGCTTTAAAAAAAAAGTTACTAATAGCAAACATTAATATCTTGCTTTAGTTCATTTACTAGCCTATTTATTTTTTATATAAAAAATTAAAAAAAATTGCAATCCAGATAATTTATATAATGTCTATAACAAAAGCAGATAATAGAACTATATAATATATAGTCTTATCACCTGTTTTTGCTATAAGCATTCCTATTTATTTTTATATATTATAATAGAAATTATATTTTTTTTTCTATATTAGTATATATTTATTTTTAGCTCTATATTATATTTTATATTTTTTCTAATATTTTTATATAG